ATTACATTGATGTAGGAAATTCTGCTGAGGAAACTATCAGTAAGAAGCAGCATGAAATCATCATACTGCAGTGAAAAGAAAAGAGAACCTGAGTCCAAATGTTGCCTCAGACACTTACTAGCTGCATGACTAGCAAGTCACTTAATCTCTCTGTGCTTCACTTTTTGTATCAGATGGCCCTGAAATAATTTCTGTCTTTATTATCTTACATTCACATTGACTCTTCTGCAACTTTTAGCCTTAAAAACTCACCTGGGACTCTGGGATATTAAATGACTTAATGAGGGTCACATAATAATAGCCAGACTTTAAGGTATACAAAGCACTTTACCAAAATTATCTTATTTGATCCTCACAACAGCTCTGAAAGGTAGATGATGTTACTATCCCCATTTTACAGATGAGAAAACTGATGCTGATGGAAATCAAAGGTCTTGCCCAGGATCACACAGCTAGTAAGTATCTGAGGCAGGATTTGAACTAAAATCTTCCTGATTCCAGGTCCAGCACTCTATCTACAGTGTTGGACATAACCAACGTATGTCAGATTTGGGACCTAAATCCAAGTCTTTCTGATTCAGAAAGGGCCCCTCTATCTTCTATGCCATACTGAACCTCTATAAAATAAAATGAGCAGCTAGGTAGTGCCATAGTGGATAGAATGCTGGGCTTGGAACTGAAAGACTAATTTTCCTGAGTTCAAATCCGGCCTCAGACACTTATTAGCTGTGTGACCCTGGGCAAGTCACATAACCCTGTTTGCCTCAGTTTCTCATCTGTAAAATGAGCTGGAGAAGGAAAAAGCAAACCACTCCAGTATTTCTGCCAAGGAAAACCCCAAATTGAATCATGAAGAGTCAGACATGATTGAACAACAACTTCTTTCTGGTAGTGGGCTTAGGAAAGTATTAATGTCATGTCCACCTTCATACCTTTCTCTATTTTCTGAGTTCTCTGGGTTTGAGTTATATACAAGCATTATTCCTTCCTTCCTTCTTTCCTTCCTTCCTTCCTTCCTTCTTCCTTCCTTCCTTCCTTCCTTCCTTCCTTCCTTCCTTCCTTTTTCATGGTCATGTGGACCATATTGAAAACTTCTTTGAAGAGTGTGCCATGCACACCATAGGGTCCCTATGTAAAGATGGGGTGGGAGGGCGGACCCAGAATGGGGTTCTTATCTCATCAACTCTACTACTTTCCAACAGGATGCCCTCAGCCAAGTCACTTACCTTCCTCAGTAAAGTAACAAGCTTGTCCAGACTGCTCTGAAATTCCTCCTTGTTCTGACATGCTGTGTTCTAAAATTCCTTCCAGCTTTGACATACATCCTAGGGTTCTCTGATTCTTCCCTTATTGTCTCTGTGTTTTGGTTAGAGTTGAGGTAGAGCAAAGCTTCTGAGTCAAGTCAATAAGCATTTTTTTAAAAAAAATATTCATTTTGAACTTAAATACAAAAAGACACACACACAAAAGAACATTTTCATGTATACAGCACAACATAAAAAGAGGATTCAATTTAAAATCATGAATTTCCATTTCACACTGTAAACATTTATTAACTGCCTACCACGTGCTGAGTACTAGAGATTTAAGGAAAGGCAAAAGACAGTCCTTGCCCTCATGGAGCTCACAGTCCAAAGGGAGAGACAGGAAGCCAACAATCACATCCAAACAAAATCTAGACAGTTACCACCTCAGAGACAGGGTACTAAGATTCAAGAGGAATAGGAAAGGCTTGTGGCAGAAGATGGGACTTTAGCTGAGGCTTTGATCCTGGAGGTAAGGGGGAGTCCCTGGAGTTTATTTAGTTTGGGGAGGGGGTGATATGGTCATACCTGTACTTTAGGAAGATCATTCTAACAGTTGAATGCAGGATGGATTGGAGAGGTGAGAGAATTAAGGAAGGGAGACCACCCAGCAGGCCACTGCAATAGTCAATTGTGAAGTGATGAGACCCCACACTAGAGTGGTGGCAGTCAGAGAAGAGAAAGGGCATATGCAAGAGAGATGATGAAGATAAAATGGATAGGCCTTGACAACAGATCCGATATCATCATCATCATTAATAAATTGTTATTAAGTGCCTATATGCCAGACACTGTGATAAATACTGGATATGAGGAAATGAAATAGAGTAAGGAGTTGAGGATGATACCTAGGTTGCCAGCCTGGGTGACTGGGAGGACGGTTTTGACCTCTAGAATTAAAAGGGAGATAGGAAGAGGGAAGAGTTTGGGGAAAAGATAATAAATTCAGTTTTGGACTTGCTCAGTTTGATGTGTCATCCAGTTTGAGACATCCAATGGGCAGTTGGGTTGGGGCTGGATAAATAGATCTGAGAATTCTCTACATAGATGATCATTGAGTCTATGAGAATTGATGAGATCACCAAGAGAAATAGCATAGTAGGAGAAGAGAAGAGGGACCAGGTCAGGTTTTGGGGACACCCAAAGGAGACTGAGGAGTAGTAAGGCAGGTAGGGAGAGAGCCAGGAAAGAGCAATGTCCTGAAATCCTAGAGGAGAGATATTGAGGAGAAGGTGATTGGCAGTGGCAAAGGTAATAGTGAGGGCAAGAAGGATGGGGATTGAGATTCAGCAATTAAGAGATCATTGGGAATTTTGGAGGCAGCTGTTTCATTTGAAAGATGAGGTTGGAAACCAGACTATGGAAAATTAAGAAGAGAGTGAGAGGAAAGCATGTGGAGTAGACACCCTTATTAAGGAATTTAGCCACAAAAGGAAGGAGAGATATGGGATGATAGCTGGGGATGATGAATAGATCACATGTGTAGGCAGTAGGGAAGTAGCCAGTAAAGAGAGGGACTAAGTGATCCTTGTTTTATAATGAGTACTTCACAAGCACTCTGTATCCTGCTCATTTTCTCTTCTATGCATGCCTCAGTTTCCCCACCTGTACCATCTCCTGCAGGAAGCCGTTTAGAAGCATGGATTGATCTGACTGCCCAACTTTGCTGCTGACCAAATAGCTCTCTCCATGCAAATCATAGCAGCTCATGAGAGGAAAGTCACTTAGGCTCTTATGCAAAGAGCTTTGGATTAGGCCGTGAGAGACCATGAGTAAGCTATACTTGCTATCTGGGTCTCAGCCTGCAAATCTGCAAAATGGGGAACTTACAGGTAAAATTGCCCCGCTCTAAATTTTCAGGGATGATTTGAGGTTCCATGGAAAATATATATGGGGACTCTATTGGGTTTGCCAGTCAGTGAAATGAGGATGTTATAATCTCTGACACTCTCTCAATTTGCAGGAATAATTTGAAGACCAATAAAAAGCATATATGGAGCTGTTGGGCATTTTTTTTCCCTTTTAAACAAAATCAGTTCTACAATGCCAGAGCATTACACACAGGTCATTTTGCCAATATTTTTAAAGGCAATTGGGGTTAAGTGACTTGCCCAGGGTCGCACAGCTAGTAAGTGTCAAGTGTTTGGTCTGAGGTCGATTGGAACTCAGGCCCTCCTGACTCCAAGGCTAATACTCTACCCACTGCACCACCTAGCTGCCCCTCATTCTGCCAGTTTTTAAAGTGGACACAGTCCCCAGTGTGGAGTGGACCAGATGAAAGACGAGACACTTCCCCAAATCCTTCTCCCTTCCTAGTGCTGAAAAGGAAAAGACTGAATTGGAATCTTTCGGAAGGGGCTGCTTGGGAAGGGATTGGGTTTCCCCTTCTTGGAGATCTTTAAGCAAAGACTTGGTTGGCCACTCATTGTGTATGTTATGGTAGGGATTTCTTTTTGGGTGTGGGTTGGGTTAGATGGTTGCTGAGATCTCTTTCAATGCTCCAGTTCTGTGATTCTGTGTTGAATGGTTATGATCAGATTGGCCATAGAGATGGGGGCGGGGAGGGGGGGGTTGGGGGAGTGGGGAGGGGGGGTGGGGGATGGGGGGTGGGAGTAGGGGGGGATGGGGTGAAGCCAGTACTTAATTGTTCAATCTCTAGCTTGACCACATAGACTTGTTGTAAACCCTCCCCAGGTTAAGTATAGGACCTCAGAAAGTAGAAGACCTTAGAAAGAGATAGACTGGAGCAGTGTCCTAGAAAGGCTCCTGGATCTAGAATTGCAGGTCTGGGTTTGAATCTCAGCTCTGCCACTTAACTGTCTCAGTGACTTTGGTCTCTGTGTCGCCCATTTTCTTTTTTTTTTTTTTAAACACTTGGTCTATCTTGAGAGAGAGAGAGAGAGAGAGAGAGAGAGAGAGAGAGAGAGAGAGAGAGAGAGAGAGAGATTTGGTCTCTATTTTGGCAGCTAGGTGATGCAGTGAATAGTATGCCAGGCCTTGAGTCAGGAAGACTCATCTTCTGAGTTCAAATCTAGCTTCAGACTAGCTGTATGACCTTGAACAAATCACTTAACTCTGTTTACCTCAGTTTCTTCATCTGTAAAATGAGCTGGAGAAGGAAATGGCAGATCATTCCAGTACTTTTGCCAAGAAAACCCCAAATGGGGTCACAAAGAGTCAGACCTGACTGAAAAACAAATTCCCTATCTTAGCCAGACTGAAGGCCTCACTACTCCTGGGGGCTCCCTGTATTGGTTTGGGACTTAGTGGATAGAGGGGATCAGCTTCAGCCCTTCTTCAGCCTAAAACTCTTGACCTCATCCAATCTGCCAGTTTCAGACTTCCCAGGATCAGGGATGACCCACTCAGACCAGTTTCCTCCTTTGTAAAACCAAAGAGTTCAATCAGATGACCTTTGAGGTGCCTCCCAGCTCTGATCCCAAAGCAGAGCCTATGAGTGTCCACAAATTATCTAGTCCAGCCCCTCATTTTAAAGAGAAGGAAACAGAAATTCAGTTAAGTGACAGGTCCAAGGTCACAGAGTGAGTAAAAGAACAAGAATTCAAACTCAGATCTCTAACTCCAAACTCAGTATTCTTTGTACTGTTAACTCTGTGTAGATAATACCTTAGTGATCACATAAGGCACAGAAACAGTTAATCAATTTTTATTGTTATTAACCAAGTCCCTCTCAGCATTCCAAGGGATGACCTCATAAGGACACTTTCTTAAAACATCTTTGCCTTTTCCTCAAGTATCAGGAAAGCCAGCACTACCCATATGTCCCTTCATAGCAGAGACACACCAGAAGGATTCATTCCTTTATAAAAGGCACCACTTTCTTCTACCCATTGGGAGGAAACACTTCAGATAATTTCTGCTACAACAGTTTCTTGTTATCATAGCAACAGCTTAAACCATAACCTATACTAGAACAGTATAGAAAATACAAAGCCCTGGAGGCTTCTGAAATTAAACCACTCATTCCCAGAATGAAAGAATTCTCCCCATTCCCACTCCCCTAATCCTAAACACAGCCCCAGCTTCCCTTTCCAAAGAAAGGCAATAGCTTGTCTGAAATGTGTTCTCTCAGAGTCTTACTTAGAACCCTTGTAAATTTCAGAGGTCATCTTCACTGTGAAGATAATTAAAGGAAAGAATTCCATTTCTACCCACTGACAGAAATAAAACTCTCATGGAAATACGTATTTCCTACTTAAAGAGGATTTGTGAAATCAACAGCCCCTCTAGTCGGCAAAGTCCCTTGGGAAGACGATCAGGGTGTGTGGGTGTGTGCTGGTCCATTCTTCAGTGGGGTAGTGGGGAATGGTTGATGCCCATGGGTAACATGGCTGCCACACTGCCCCTGACTCTGGGGGCAGCCCCCAGAGAGCTGTCTTTGAGCTCTCAAAGCTGGATTTCATCCAGGAGAGGAAATGCAAGACCGCTGTGAGGGAGCCTGCAGGGATTTGGCTCCCTGAGGAGTCTTATCCAGGAATTCTGGAGAGAAAAGAGGAAGAAAAGGGAATCAGTGTAAAGGTTTGTCAGACACTCAGCTTTGGATACTATAACAATTCCTCTCAGCCACATACACACCCTCCTACTTTTTTTTTTTTTGCCAGATCCATACTTGAAATTACAATGTAGGGAGTTTCTAGTATGGAACCTCCTTCCACCAATGTAGAAATTCACTTGGTTATGTAGCATAAAGTTTTGGAGAGGTGTCTAAAAGTACCAAGAGGCAGGTGACTTGTGCCTGATCACATAGTCTATAGGTATAAAGGGGTATGTGTGTGGGGGGGGGATTTGAACTCAGGTGTTTGTGATTACAAGTAAGACACTCATTCCACTATTTCAATATGCTGCCTAATTCTCCCTCCCTTCCCTCCCTCCCTCCCTTTGTTATTCCCTCCCTACTTCCTTTCTTTCCTTTGTTATTCCTTCCTTCCTTCCTTCCTTCCTTCCTTCCTTCCTTCCTTCCTTCCTTCCTTCCTTCCTTCCTTCCTTCCTTCCCTCCCTCCCTCCCTCCCTCCCTCCTCCCTCCCTCCCTTCCTTCCTTCCTTCCTTCCTTCCTTCCTTCCTTCCTTCCTTCCTTCCTTCCTTCTATGCTTAGCACAACAGAAAGTTTATTTGCCATAAGTCATATGGCTAATACAAGCCAGAGGCTGGATTTGAACCCAGGTCTCCATGACTGGCCCTGTAATTTCTACACCATGGTGCTCATCAGTGCCTTACCCAGGGAACTGATATTAGGATTATAGCCTTGGAGTTGGGGAGATGCTAAGGGTACAACCTCCTCATTTTACAGATGAGGAAACTGAGGCCCAAAGATATTAAGTGGCTTACCCAAGGTCACACAGTAAGTAAATGATTGAGGCAGGCTTAGACCCAATTCCTTTAACAAGGGCAGAACTCCTACCATTTGGCTGCACTGTCTCTCAGTGATGACAGCTCATGCTTTTTTTTTTTTAAGAGCTTCGGGGTTTCCAAAGCTCCAGCGTGTTCAGACAACAACCCTTTACTGGTATGACCTTGGGTAAGGAATATGCTCCTTGACCTCAGGTTTTCCGGGCAGGGAGCTTGAGAAGTACTTGAAAGCTAGTGAGTGTCAGAGGTGAGACCTGAACACATGGAGAAGGCCCTTGGACGTGACTCACCTTGTTCCTGCAGATGATTAAGCCTGTGCTCCAGGTGGATGGGAGGCACCCCCAGGATGTGGGCTCATACCAGCCTGAAGTCAGCCTGGCCATTCTGGCGTTCCATCCCCAAGTACTCCCGGATGTTGCCACTAACATGGTCCTGGGGCTTCTTAGCCCAGAGCTTCATTAGCTATAAGAAAAGAAGAGAGTGTGAATGCAGCCCAGGTGTCCCAGGTGGGTTTATTCCCACCTGGAAAAATGGAGGTGACCAGCCTCTTTCCTTCAGGAGAGACCCATGGGGTTTTGGGTTCCTGTTGGTATCCACCATTACCCCAAAGGGCTCAATTTCTAGAGATCATGGAGAAGGAGAGAACAGAAGAACCAGAAAGCATAAAATTCTGCTGTTCATTTCAGAGAAGCTGCTGCCCCTTCAGTAAAATCCTTGCCATTTTAATTATCCTGATTAATATTATTCAGGTTTTGCTTTAATTTAATTTCTGTAGCAGTTTTATCAGGTGATCAGTCTTCTGGTGTGACACCTCATGTGTCTCAATGATAGGCTGATAACCCCCCATACCATACAGATTTCACAGCATCTCGTCAAATCATAATTTCTCCAAGGTTGAGTGCCTCACTTTCCTCATTTGCAAAATAAAGTGGTTGCACTTTTAAGGTCTCTTCCTAGTCTAAATTTAGGGACCTGAGATGCCACTGAGTCATTTTTCCAGATGAAGAAGCAGCTGTTCAGACAGAGGAAGGGCCCTGACCATGATCACATAGATAGTGAGTCACAGAGGCATAATCTGAACCTGGGGCCTTTGACTTAGAGATATGGTGGTATAGGGGAAAGAAGGCCGGATGTGGAGTTAGAGGATTGGAATTTTAATGGCTCTGCCACTTAGTACCTATGGGACTTGGACAAGTCATTTCTCATCTCCACACTTAAGTAATAATATTAATAACTAGCACTTGATAGCACCTTAAAGTTCACAGAATACTTCACAAATATTATTTAATCCTCACAATCTTAGTGGGAAGGGGAGGTGCTCTTATGATCACAGATGAGGAAACTGAGACACACAGGTTAAGTGACTTACCCAGGGTCATATAGCTAGTCTTTGTGTGTGTGTGTGTGTGTGTGTGTGTGTGTGTGAGGCAATTGGGGTTATGTGACTTGCCCAGGGTCACACACAGAGTCTCAGGCTGGATTTGAACTCAGGTCCTCCTGACTCCAAGCCCAGAGCTCTACTCACTAGGCCACCTAGCTGCCCCTCATACAGCTAGTCTTAAACAAGATTTGAACTCGGGTCTTCTTAACTTCAATCTCTATCTCTTGCCCTACTTAGCTACCTCTAAATGGAGAGGATAGTTCCTAAAGGCCTTTCTGACTTGGAATGTATGTGGTACAGTGCATAGAGCATCAGCCCTTGGAGTCAGGAGGATCTGAGTTCACATCTGGCCTTAGGCACCAGCTGTGTGACCCTGGGTAAGTCACTTAACTCTGATTGCCTTCCCCCCTCACCAAAAAAATAAATTTATGCTTATAGCTTCATGGCTCCAAAATCAGTATCCTTTCCACTGTTGCAGAGAGGGAAGCGATTTTAGAAATCACCTATTCCAACACATTTTAATACCCCCCACCCTCAGTTTTATAGGTGAAAAAAATGAGATCCAGAGAGGGCAAATGATTTGTACAATATTACCTAGATAGTAAGGTTTTCAACCCTATCCACTTCTTCCCACTAGACTGATGGCAAGTTAAGCCTTTTCAAGAAAAGAAGGGGTGGTTGCTCCAAGGTCACCCCATTTCCTCTGTTCCCAGGACAGATTCTGGTGCTGCCACCTTTTGACAGTTGTTGGAGGGCAAGGGGGTGAGTCTTTGTTTGAATGAGGGCTGGAATGACCATGGACTAGGCCTAAAAGCGTCCTTTGTGTCAGGAGGTTTTCAGATCCTACCCCCCCCCCATCCCTGCTTTGGCTTCTACTTACTTAGATGAGCCAGAAGCTGGTGCATCTCATAGAAGGCCTCTGGAGGTGGGCTCTCTCCTCCTCCCCCTAGCCAGGCTGTGGGTCCAGTGCAGAAGGAAGCTCCTATTTATAGACCAGAACTGGCCCAGGGGCTCTGTGAGTCCCACGGTCATCGGTAGTTCCCACACTTGGCAGCCAATGGCTGGGGAAAGGGGAGACAATGAAACAGGCAGCCACTTAGCTATGGTACACTGAGCCCTAATGCCCTGGGGGGAGTCACTTTCTGCTTGAACCAACTGGTGGAGTGTGGAGTGGTGGTGGTGGTGGTGGTGGTGGCGGCGGCCTGAGGGTGTGGGGCGCCTGCACCTGGGAAAGGAATGACATTCCAGCTGGGTGTCTTCCGATCAATGGCATTCCTATGCCCTAGCATGTGCCAGGCCCAGTCAGCCACCGTGAGGGCATGTGCAAGGCAGGAAAGAGAGGAGGAGGGAGGCAGAAACAACCTGCTCACCAGGCAGGCAAAGCTTCATCTCTGTCAATGTGACCCTGCCATCAAGGAATAAGCCCTGGGACCATTGGACTGGGCATTGGATCTGGAGTTAAAAGACAAAGCTTTGACTTAGTAAATGAATGACTCTGGCTAAGCCATGGGAGGATAGGATTGTAGACTCAGAGAGGGGACCTCAGTTGGCATATAGCTCAGATGGCTCATTTCACAAATGGGGCAGCTGAGGACCCAAGGTCACAGCTAGTAAGTGGACCCTGGCTTGTCTGGCTTCAAATCCAGTACTCTACCTACTGTACCATGATACCTCCCTCATTTTACAGGGGAGAAATGTGGCATAGTGAAAGGAAGGAAAGGGGATTTTTTAAGCACCTACTATATCCCAGGCACTCCTTTGAGTACTTTACAGATATTATCTCATTTGACCACCACAACAATCCTGGGAGGTAGGTCTTATTATTATCCCAATTTTTTTTAACTGTTGAGGTAAATAGAGGTGAAGTGATTTGCCTGAGGTTCAGTAGCTAATAAGCTGGATTTTAGATTTGTATTTAGGTTTTTCTGACTCTAGGCCCAGGGCTCTGTCCCCTGAGCCACCCAGCTGCCTCTAGGGAAGAATGCCAGCTCTGGAGTCAGAGACGGGCACATCTTCAGTTCCCATTTCTCATGAGTGTTGAGTCATTTCAGCCACATCTGACTCTCCGTGACCCCATTTGGGGTTCTCTTGGCAAGGATACTGGAGCTGTTTGCCATTTCCTTCTCCAGCTCATTTTACAGTTAAGGAAACTGAAGCAAACATGCTTAAGAAACTTGTTTAGGGTCACACAGCTAGTTAGTGTTTGAAGCTGGATTTGAACTCAGGTCCTTCTGACTCCAGGGTGCTCTATCCACTGAGCCACCTACCTGCCCTTCTCATGCTTACTTAACACCTTTGTGAGCCTGGGCAAATCTCAATCTCCCAGGGCCTTGGTTTCCTCATTTGCAAAATGAGGTGCAGTGATGGAATAGAATGTGGTTGGTTGCCTAGAGCAGGAGTTCTTTTCAACATTCACTTCTATAAGCTTTTGAGTTTTAAATTTTCTCCCCCTCCTTCCCCAAGATTGCATGCAATCTGATATAGGTTCTACATATACATTCCTATTAAACATATTTTCACATTAGTCCTGTTGTAAAGAAGAATTAGAACCAATTGGAGGAACCACAAGAAAGAAGAAACAAAACAAAACAGAAGAGAAAAAAAAAGAGTAAATTGTATGCTTCTATCTGCATTCCAACTCTATATTTCTTTCTTCGGATGTGGATAGCATTTTCCATCATGAGACTTTTGGAGATGTCTTAGATTCTTGCATAGAGCAGGAGTTCTTAACCTAAGGTCTGTGAACTTATTTTATTTTAATATTGAAAATGGTTTTTATTTTCATTTTTAAAAATATTTTATTTTTTTCCCAATTACATGTAAAAACAATTTTTAACATGTCTTTTTTTTAAACTTTTGAGTTCTAAATTGTCTCCTTCCCTCCCTTTTCTTCCCTTTCCCTGAGATAGCAAAACAATTTGATATAAGTTATACATGTGCAGTTATGCGAAACATGTTTCTATATTAGTCATGTTGTAAAAGAAAACACAGACAAAAAAAACAAAGAAAGTTAAAAAAAAGTATTCTTTGATCTGCATTCAGACTTTTATCAGTTCTTTCTCTGGAGGTGGATAGCATTTTTCATCATGAGTTCTTCAGAATGGTCTTGGATCATTGCATTGCTGAGAATAGCTAGGTCATTCACAGTTGACCATCATAACAATATTACTGTGTTGCATGCAATGTTCTTCCAATTCTGCTCGCTTCACTTTACATCAGTTCATGTAAGTCTTCCCAGGTTTTTCTGAAACCAAACTGCTCATCATTTCTTATAGCACAATAGTATTCCATCACAATCATATACCACAACTTTGATAACTGTATTTTAATCTAATCAGTTTCCTTTGTAATCCTATGTATTTTATTCATGCATTTAAAGACATGATTCTGAGAAGGGGTGTATAGGCATTACCAGCCAGACTGCCAGAGGGGTCCAGGATATACATGTGAAAAAGGTTATAAACTTGAGACTACAAGGTCCTAAATCTATGATACTATGGAGTGGAAGCCCAGGAAGATAAAATGACTTGTCCAAGATAACATGAGCCAGAATTTGAATGAAGAACTTTTGACTCCAAACCCAGTACTGTTTGCCATTCTAGTAACTCCACCTCTTCGAGCCCCATTTTCCCCACTTAATATGGAAGCAAGAGTATTTGGTCCACTCACCTCAAGGGATCATTGTGACAGACACTAAATGCTTTGTAATCTCTAAGATTTCTCTCTAAATGCAGATATTCTTGCCTCCTCAGATACCAACTATTCTCCATTATGTTGGCATGTATTGGCAGAAATACAACTCTGTGTTGGCTGCATGACTTTGGAGAAGCACCTCACCTCTATGGGACTCAGTTTACTCACTGTAATAGGAAGGGATTAGAGGATCTCTAAAGGATCCTCCCAGCTCTAACATTCACTTAACTAAATAAATCTGCCAGGACATCAACACTAAGGTCCTTAGTTAAATGATTCAACCTTTCTTTCCATGAAAAGCATTTCCACTGATATTTCCCATACCTGCAATTCTCTCCCTCCTCATGTCCATGGATTGACTTTTCTGGCTTCCCTCAAGTCCCAGCTCAAATCCCATCTTCTAGGTGAAACCTTTCCTGATCTCCTTTAATGCCAGTGCCTTCCCTCTCTGGATTATCTCCAATAGATCACACACACACACACATCTCATGTATATGTATATGCATATGTATGTGTATATGTATATATGCATATAGAGAGAGAAGAGAGAGAGAAAAAAGAGAGAGAGGAGAGAGACAGAAGAAGAGAGAGAGAGAGAAAAGAAAAAGAGAGAGAAGAAGAGAGGAGAGAGAGAGAGAGAGAGAATGCTTATGTGAGCTTGTCTGTATATAGTTGTTTGCACATTCTCTCTCCAATTAGATGTTAAACTCCTTGAGGGCAGCAACTGTCTTTTACCTTTCTTTATATTCCAGGCACTGGGATACCAACAGTGCCAGACACAGTGCCTGGCACATGATATGACTGCCTGGCCTTTGGTTTCCTCAGCTGACAAATGAGGATGAAGACCCCCACCCCCTCTGCCATGCTGACCAAACAGCCTGATAACAGGCTAACACTGATAATTAGTGGGATAGTACATGGAAGGACTTCAAGATGTTTTGAGTACAGAGATCTTCAAAACAATCCGATCTTTAAAATCAATCCATCATCCAGCACTTATCAAATGACTGTCAGCTTGCTGGATGGAGCACCCAGCCTGGAGGCAGGAAGACTCCTCTTTCAGAGTTCAGATCTAGCCTCAGACACTTACTAGCTGTGTGACCCTGGGCAAGTCACTTAACCCTGTTTGCCTCAGTTTGCTCACTTGTAAAATGAGCTGGAAAAGGAAATGGCAAACCACACCAGTATCTTTGCCAAGAAAACTCCAAAAGGAGATCACTAAGAGTCAGACACATTGAATAACAACAACAATCTGTCAGGCACTGGGAGATACAGAGACAAAAATGACGCAGTTCCTGCCCTCAAGGAGTTTATACTTTTTGCAAAAAGCCAACATCTACACATATAAAATATATGCAAAATTAATACAAGGTAATTAATTTTTGAGAATATGTCTTTTTTTTTGGCCTAGGCAATGGGGTTAAGTGGCTTGCCCAGGATCACACAGCTAGTAAGTGTTATGTGTCTGAGGCTGGATTTGAACTCAGGTCCTCCTGAATCCAGGGCCAGTGCTCTATCCACTACACCACCTAGCTGTCCCCAAGGTAATTAATTTTTGGAGAGGACATCACAGCTGGGGTGGGGAGAAAGGATGGGGTCAGGAAAGGCCTCCCTTACCAGGTGACATTTGTGCTGGTTTCGAAAGAAACAAGGACTTTTAAGCAGCAGAAGTGAGGCAGGAGTACATTCTTGGCATGAAGAACAGTGTGTACAAAGGCCCAGAAGTGAGAAATGGCATGTTTTGTGTGAGGAACGGCAGAAAGGTCAGTTTGACCGGATCAAAGTTTAAAACATGGGAGGTGGTATCAAACCTCAGGAAATCATAACAAATCATTAGTGTAAAAGTTTAAAAAAAGTTTGGTTCATTAATTAGTTTTAGTAGCAAAAATGGTTATAAAAATAAATTTCACTTCCTTTGAACAACATTTGGTATCATAGTGGTAAAATTGATGAAGACTGAGCCTGTCTCCAAGGAGGAGATCTAAGAAGATGCCCCCACCCTGCCCTTTTGCCGAGGTGGGAGTTCCATGGTCTGGGGTCTGAGGGTATTCATGTTGTGTACATATTTTCAGACTTTTGTGATATATTGATCAGCTTTCTTGATTTCCCCCCTTTTTCATTTATTTATCTTTAAAAACATTATTTGTTATATGGAATGACTAGGAGGAAAGAAAAAATTTTGGTGACACAAACATCAATAAAAATGTATTTTAAAAATATGATTTCTATCTTTCAGTTCTATAAGACTCTGAATTCCTCCCT